CTGCTACCAGAGTGATCTTAAAATGTAGATCTAGTTATGCCACTTCCCTGCTTGTAGTCAGTGACTTCTCAGAGATTTCAAACTAAACCTTTTCACTTATCCTGAATTGGCCTCACTACTTGCCACCTCCCCACGTGTCCCCCATGCTTCATCAACCATCCTAAACTACTGTTTCCTGCCTCTTTACTTTTGTGTATATTATTCATTCTGTCTTAAATGCTTTTCCTTCAGTTTTCTTTTTTCTTTTTCTTTTTTTTTTTTTTTGCCAATTTTAATAAAACCTTCAGAGCTTGGTTTCTGTCACCTCTTTCAGAAACCCTTCCTGGACCCGAGTTAGATGTTTTCTTCTATGCTCCTATAACACAGTATTCATCTCTGCTTACCATACTTTGTTGGTTCATCCAAGAGCCATCCCATCTATACTCTAAGATCCTTGAAAGCAAGGGTTTTGTTTTGCAAACTTTTGCTGACACAGTACTCAAAGCCCTCACCAGATAGAATCAATGGTTTCCTTCTGTGTATACATCACAATCATTAATATGTATTTCCCTTGCTCCTAGAGGATACAGACTATGTGTTATTATTCATCCCTGCACCTACCCTGGTGCTGTTGAGTTGCTCTGACATCACCGTGAAGAATCACAATGGGGCAGTGACATTCATATCACTAGGATGTTTAAGGATTGCATCATTATCAGTTATAGAGATTATGATCCCTGTACCTGTAGTCCTGTCATTTTTTGAGTAGACATAAGAGTACTTTGTGTTATTTGAAGTCGTATGAATATTTTAATTTTTATTATGCATCAATAAGTCCTATCTAGTAAGATAAGCAGAAAATGGATTTTATTATTTATTTTCTATTAGTGGAGAAGATAAGATTTTAAATTAAATGATATACCTTAAATTATCCAGTGAACATGGAGCACAGCCAAGACTAGAAGAAAATGAAATGTGTTCATCCAGAAATCTAGCGCTTTATCGGCAAGATTTTACCTGATAAAGTTCAAGCTTTCAGACAAATGAAAATAATCTTTTTTTTTTTTTTTTTTTTTTTTTTTTGAGACGGAGTTTCACTCATGTTACCCAGGCTGGAGTGCAATGGCGCGATCTCGGCTCACCGCAACCTCCGCCTCCTGGGTTCAGGCAATTCTCCTGCCTCAGCCTCCTGAGTAGCTGGGATTACAGGCACGCACCACCATGCCCAGCTAATTTTTTTTTGTATTTTTGGTAGAGACGGGGTTTCACCATGTTGACCAGGATGGTCTCGATCTCTTGACCTCGTGATCCACCCGCCTCGGCCTCCCAAAGTGCTGGGATTACAGGCTTGAGCCACCGCGCCCGGCCATGACTGAGTTATTAACTCCATTTCCCAGATGAGGCTATTGAAGCTTAGAAAGTTAATTGTCCATTTTTAAATGAATGACTCACATATGAAAGGCTCTAACAGAAATACAGGGAAGAGAAATCTAACCCAACCATGTAAAAGGTGATGCTAAGTAGGAAAAGTAGAAGAAAATCAGGCAAATAAGAGAAAGAATATTCCAGGCAGAGAAAACAAAGGTAGTAAAGTCCAAAAAGAACATGAAAGGCTGGGCACTTTGGCTCACGCCTGTAATCCTAGCACTTTGGGAGGCTGAGGTGGGAGGATCACTTGAGCCTAGGAGGCCAAGACCAGCCTGGGCAATATAGTGAGACCCAGTCTCTATCTTAAAAATAAAAATAAAAAAGAACATGAAAAATGCATAATTTGTTTAATAAATCTGCTTAGCTAGAGGACAAGATATAGATGTAGGTACAGAGGTGGGAAGAGGATGGAGATATAGGTTGGGATGGTTTTGTGTGCTAATTAGTTTAAATTTACTTAAATGCTACTGGGAGCCACAGGATAACTTTCCTTAGAGGAGCAACACAATCAGATTTATACTTTACAAAGATCATAGCCAGGCTAGGTGCATGTCTCACGCCTGTAATCCCAGCAATATGGAAGGCCGAGGCGGGTGGATCACCTGCAGTTAGGAGTTCAAGACCAGCCTGACCAACATGGTGAAATCCCATATGTACCAAAAATACAAAAGTTAGCCAGATGTGGTGGTGCATGCCTGTAATCTCAGCTACTCAGGAGGCTGAGGCAGGAGAATCACTTGAACCCAAAGGGTGGAGGGTGCAGTGAACCGAGATCATGCCACTACACTCCAGCCTGGGAGACAGAGTAAGACTCCATCTCAAAAAACAAAACAAAACAAAAAAATCATTGCCACAGCAAAATAGAAGGTAAACTGGAGTCAGGGAAACTAGAATAAAGATTTCCTGGTAGGCTATTGCAGAAAACTTAAGGGGACAGTGATAAGGACCTGAGTCAGTGTTGGTGACATCCCACATAATATTCTCTTCCCAGTAGGTCTCCTCCCTTTAGCCAACAAATGTGAAATGTAAGGGGGCAATGTCACAGAAAGTGACCCTGCCAGCCCCACTATTGGCTTAAAATTAAATTGTTTCTGGTAAGAATTTTACCCACCCATCTTTTCACACGTTATGGGGCTTATGAGTGGGGTTAAACCCATAAGAGAAGTGTGGTAATGGGTGCCCATCTCTATGTAGCTTAAGTATGCTTTTTTTGTGCAAAGCCTAGAAACCCATCAAAACATATAAAGTAAAATTAAAGAGTAATCTCTAAAGATTGGAAGTAAAATCAAACAAATGTAAATGTATATTCTGTTGGCAATAACCTTAAAGAAGCTATTCCAGATAACTTGAAATCTCAGTATTGGGACTGTGAACCCATAGTATGATATATATAGCTTACACAATCCTTCCTGTTTTCTATCCCCCCAAAAACAAAATTTAAACTATTTCCAGTAACTATATTGTTGGTAATGTTTATGTTGATATTCTGAGACTTCTGAGTGTACATTTTTTGATTATACTAATGAATAATTATGTAATATTCTATCAGCCACATGCTAAAAATTGGAATTCTTAGTATGGTTTGATAAGGAGACACAGACCAAAGAAATTAAGTAAAAATTATGTAGCACTGAGTATCAGTATAATTTCTTTTTCTTTTTTTTTTTTAAGATGGGGTTTCACCATGTTGGCCAGGCTGGTCTTGAACTCCTGACCTCAGGTGATCCACCCACCTTGGCCTCCCAAAGTGCAAGGATTACAGGCATGAGCCACTGCGCCCGGCCGTATCAGTATAATTTCACGCAGTATTTTATATTAAAACAACAAATAATACCAATGTTAGTCCACAGAAAGGCCTAGAAACCTACAAACCCAGTCTCAATGAACATTTCTGGTGCTCTGATTGCAATTTCCAAATGCCACTTTCCAGTAAAGAGGAAACAAGCCTCTTTGGATAAATTGTTTTCAGGTCAGGCAGGAAATACACAAGCTGAGCCTTAGAACATCTTGTAATATCACTTTTAGCAAAGATGCTACCAGTGACAACAAGGGTCATGTAGATGGACTGAGGAGCCAATTAAAGAGGCTCTCACTGGCCAAAAATGGGACAATTTGAGCATTCATAAGAGAAATAGTTTCAGTGGACTGAAGTACATCAAATATGTTTGAATGTATGAATTGCTAATGACATATACATTAATTATTCACTATTGGAGGATATTAATAAACAACTCATTATTTTGAAGACCAAGGAGTTAAACATTTATTCTTAACCTTCCCCAAAAAAGTAGATGAGGGGAAGTTTCTATCTACAGAGGTATTTAGATAATAAATGAAGGAATACTATAATTAGAATACCATTATTTTTAATAACTCATTAATAGATCAAAAGCTGCTCACATTACAAAAAGACAACCAACAGTATGAAAAAACCAGCATGCAATCAGCAAAATCCAAACTAAGAAAAACTCTACAAGGTAAACAACACAACTTCTTCAACAAATTTGTTGTGGAGGGCAGAGAGATGGTGATGAACCAATACATAAGTGAACCCCAAACCTGCAGCTTCAGCATCACCTGGGAATTTGTTAGAGATGCAAATTCACAGACTCCACAACAGACTTACAGATCACTAACTCTGTGGTGGGTCCCAGCAGTTTAACAAGGCTCTAGTGATTTTGATATACTCGTTTGAGGACCACAATAATAGAAGATATTTAGGATGTGTATCAGCCAACTTTATTTGGTTCCTGATCCCAAAAAAACTGCAAAAATTTTTGACATCATAGACAACTTATAATATGAAGGAGTTGTCCATTTTCTTAGGTGTAAAAATGGTATTAAGATTATACATATTTTTTAAATCCCTGAAATATTTACAGATAAATTATAAGAGTTACTTTAAAATTATACAGAAAGGGCAGAAGCAGTTGGGATTATAGATGACACACATTAGCAAGGAGTTGATAATTGTCGAAGGTGGAGGATGGGTACCTAGGTGTTTATTCATTCTCTATATCTATCTATCTATCTATCTATCTATCTATTTGTATATATATACACATATATATATTCTCTCTATATATGTATTTTTGAGATTTTTTTCATTATAATTTTTTTTAAAACTCAAAAAATTAAAAGACTGTATTAATCCAAAAAAACAGAAAGTATATAGTACTTTTACTTAAAGGGCAGTATTGAAATACACAAAATAAGTATAAATAGTCAGAAAAAAAAAACCTACTCCATACTAGTATATGGTAAAATGCTTTTGTTGTGGAAGTAAGGAGGATCTGGATCTTCTATCAATTGTCTGATGTCATTTTAAGTAACTGACCCTGTTGGAGAGAATGACGTACCTGTAGAGAGAGGCCCAGTCTGGTCAAGGGCATATGAATACCTATACACATTTGCTTTCCAATTTCCAAACTAGCTTAGCCTTTAGAATGCAATCTATTAATGAACTCAGGTTTACCTTCATTTTTAAAAACATACTACTTTAGCATATTATGAGTGCAACCTAAGTAGCCTAATACAGATATTAGTAATGGCTGATTTTTTTTCACTAGACATGAGACAATCCATCTCTTTTACATAGGGAAAATAGCCAAAGTATGTGTTTTGAGAGATGTTCAGAGGCCTGTCTTGAAATGTCATCTCCAGTGATCTGGTGGTAACTAGTCTTGAAATTTCTTCAAAACAAGAAATGTAAAAAAAGCTAATTGTGAGGCTGCAGTAGCCCTTAATAACTCCTTGAACTTAAATCTTGTGATGTGAGCTTTATTTCCTCTGTAATGTATCTTTGTTATTGTGCTGTTAAGAACAGGGTGAATATACATAAGCAGAATGTATTTGGAAAAAAGAAAAATTTTAAATGAATAGGGTGAATAGATGCAATCTCTCCTTCTTCCTCTCCTTTTTAACTTCTTCCTCTTATTTATTCTTTACTATGGAAACATAATTTGTATATAAACACCTGGTCCATAAGAAATCTAATTAGAAAGCACCAACTTCAAAGCCTCAGGGTATGAATGATCGAGTGTGCTATACATTCTCACTTTAAAAAGGTGATGGCAGAATTTTGAGGATAGTTTCTTTTCATGTTTTATTTTAGATATTTCATATTTGTCATTATTGTTATGAGCAGCATTTTCTTCATTATCATTAAAATTATTATTTTGCTTAGAGTGGTCAATGACGTGGAGAAAAGACCATTAAAAGTCATCACCATCCATTATCAGACATCCTTCTGAAACTAGTTTCAAAATAGGGACTTCTGTTCCCTTTTTTCTGCTTTTATTGAGCTCCTGCTATGTTCCCACCCATGTTGACTACTTTGTAAAAAGGAGAACACAAAAAAGACAAAGCCTAACTTGAGAGAGCTCACACACTCTAATTGAGGAGATGAGGTGATGAGAAGAGAATCACCACATACCTATGAGGAGGTTGTAAGATAGAGCTTGACAGTCTGGACTATTTGGCTTTACAATGGTTGAATTCAAATTCTGACTCTGCCACTCAATAGCTCTGTGATGAGAAGCAAGTTACTAACCTCCCCTGCCCCAGCGTCCTCATCTGTTAAATGAAGGTAAGAACAGTGATTACCTTGTAGGGTTGTCTTGGGATAATCTTTAAATTAGATAATCCATAAAACATTTAAATTTATCCTTATATTTATCCATATATTTTATTTCTCTGTTGATCACTGTTTCTTGTATCCCATACCTTCACCTTGGGCAGATTTTCTTTTCCATCCTTGAAATATAACCTTTAATAATTAAATTCTCTTAGTTTTCTATGTGCAAAAATGTCTTTATTTTGCCTCCAATATTGTGAATAAAATTCTAAGGTGATACTTATTTTCCTCAGAACTGTGAAATTATTTTTCCACTGTCTTCTGGACTTTATGGTGCTGATAAGAAAGAAGTTTGCTGTTGGTTTAACAATTATTACTTTGAAAATTATGTGTTTTTTCTCAGTAGTAGAATACTCACATTTAAGTAGATATTTGATGAATGTGCATACTTATTGATAGGAATCCACACAGGGCTCCTAATTCCGTAGATTATGGGGGAGGATCATGGTACAAATATCCTTTTCCCTTATGAAGGGGCATGGCAGAAACTGAAGGCTATTGTGACTAAAAGAAAGCTCTGCAAGGTTAACACATATAACTATATCCTTGCCTCCAAGGGAGATCTAATAATGCCCCTACAAGAATCCAAGAGACTGTAATAGGATATGAAGAAAATGGCTGAGGACCCTCATTTTTATTTATTTATTTATATTTAATTTTTTTTTTTCAGACATCAGTGTTACTTGCCAAGACCCTGATTTTTAAACTCCCATGAATTATTACGTTCCTTTCCACTCCTGCTTTCTAGTTCCTACACCAGGACAACTCTGTATTTTGAGTACATGAGTCAAGTATGGCAAAAAGTATGGTACCTTAAAAACTTTTATTTTAGCCCTTCCTGGCCAATGCTAAAACTTATATCTAAAAATAGGGCAAAACAAAATGAAACAGATCTCTCCTTGTATATAAAATAGCTAACAATTTGGCCTCTTTATTGATCTTATGTCATATATTTGGCTTAAAAAAAAAACAACTCAACAAACAGTTACAATTAAGAGCTATACAAACTAAATTTTTCTTCTAGATCTCTTGCAGGGCATACATAGGGCCTTGAAAGTCAGTCCCAAAGAAAATTCTTATGTAAATGAAACAAGAAGGATGCTATTTGTTTTTTGTTACATAAACATCACCTGAACTTAACAAATCAATCCACTTATTTGAAAACCATCTAGGACCAAAAGCATGATCAAGTTTGCTGGGTGCCATTCTCACTCTAATCATACCCAAAAGGCCTAGAAATAATTCAAAACTAGAAAGAGGCCCAAGTACTAAGGCTACCTATGGCTCTTGCTACAAAACAGTTGCCAGTCTGATGTGTGTGTCTAGAAAGAATGATAGAAAATAAAGAGTTCTGCTTGAGTTCAAGAAAACTTCCCAGAAGGAGGGGGTGGGCCAAGAAATCCACCTGCCTGCTTGGTGGCAGCTCGTGAAGGGGCAAGGCCAAGAATCTTCTGAATATTCTGTAAAGAAAACATAGTAAGAATTGAGTTTTAATATCAAATATACAGAAGACATGTTTTATGTAGCTCTCAGGCAAAGGGAACTCATATAGATTACAGGTACCATTGTGACCTGCAATAGGATGATTATCACTATATTATTTTTAAAAAGGCCTGCAATGTAATGAAAATCATAGAACAGTAAAAGCCTTCCATACCTGATGAGACCTTGGCCTACTAATCAAAGTGGCTGATCTTTTTTAAGTGGAGAATCATAAAAGGAGATAATCTTTTATTTTTAACATGAAGCATATCAAGAATATTCATTAGCTATTTATTATGGTCATTTTCTTCAAGTATGGGTCTGCTGGCTGGATTTGTCATTACTGCACTGTCTATAATTTTCAGTTTCGGCAGGGCGTGGTGGCTCACGCCTGTAATCCCAGCACTTTGGGAGGCTGAGGTGAGTGGATCACCTGAGGTCAGGAGTTCAAGACTAGTCTTGCCAACATGGTGAAACCCATCTCTATGCACACTTGTAATACCAGCTACTTGGGAGGCTGAGGCAGTAGCATCACTTGAACCAGGGAGGCGGAGGTTGCGGTAAGCTGAGATCGCACCACTGCACTCCAGCAGGGTGATAGAGCAAAACTGCGTCTTCAAAAAAAAAAAAAAAAAGAAATACGCATTTAGCTAAAAAACAGGAGTTTTAATATATAACAAAGACGCTATGAAAGAAAATACAAATGTAAAATATAGTAAGATGCCATCAAGTTTTGGAAAGGTGTAAAACAATTATTTTGAATTCCTGTCCAGTCCTGTGTAACAGGTAACAAATGAAGAGTGTATACTCGGAAGAGAAAAACAAAGGAAAGGCCGGGCGCGGTGGCTCAAGCCTGTAATCCCAGCACTTTGGGAGGCCAAAGCGGGTGGATCACGAGGTCAAGAGATCAAGACCATCCTGGTCAACATGGTGAAACCCCGTCTCTACTAAAAATACAAAAAATGAGCTGGGCATGGTGGTGCGTGCCTGTAATCCCAGCTACTCAGGAGGCTGAGGCAGGAGAATTGCCTGAACCCAGGAGGCGGAGGTTGCAGTGAGCCGAGATCGCGCCATTGCACTCCAGCCTGGGTAACAAGAGCGAAACTCTGTCTCAAAAAAAAAAAAACAAAAAACAAAAAACAAAAACAAAAACAAACAAACAAAACAAAAAAAAACTACAAAAACTTAGCCAGGCATGGTGGTGGGTACCTGTAATCCCAGCTACTCAGGAGGCAGGAAAATAACTTGAACCCAAAAGGCAGAGGTTGCAATGAGCCAAGATAGTGCTATTGTACTCCAACCTGGGTGACAGAGCAAGACTGTCTCAAAAAAAAAAAAAAATTGCTCTTTGTTGCTTAAAGGGAAATATATACATTACTGTGTTTTATTAAGATGTCAACCCAAGCAACAATTTTTAAATTTCAGACTTAATCAAATTAAAGAGCAATATTCCACAGAGATCAAAAGATCTGTGCTAAACCACAGAGATCTGTGTTGTCATTCCCTTATCTTTCACTAGGATAAACTCCTGCTATGGTGTGAATGTGTCCCTGAAAAGTTCTTGTGGTGGAAATTTAATCTCTCTGCCCTCATTAACAGATAACGTCATTATCATGGGAGTGGATTCCTTATCACGAGTGGCTTTTTTATAAAAGTGAGGTTTCTCTGGTTCTGGCTCTTGCCCTCTCACCATGTGATGTCCTCCACCACGTAAAAGATGCAGTAGGAAGACCCTCAGCAGATGCCAGCACCATGCTCTTGGACATCCTGCAGAACTGTGAGCTAAACTGTCTTTATAAATTACGCAGGCTGTGGTATACTGTTACAGCAACAGAAAATGGGCTAAGGCAGAGACTATTTCAAAAATTTTAGTATATACTTCAGCTAAGCAAGAATACAACTTCTTGGTGGACATAATTATTTAGCTATTCAACAAACACCTCAAACTCAGCATGTCTTCTAACCAACATACTCTTCTTTCTTCTATTCCCAACCTCTTAGGAAAACTATTCCCCACCTCTTAGTGAAACTTTTCCCCATTTGGTCACCAAAATCAGAAACATGCAAGTCATCTTAGTTTTTCCTTTCTCCTTCACATTAAATTAATAAGTAAGTTCAGCTGGTTTCACCTTCTATTTATTTCTCAATCTTGTCTCATCCTTTTCATCCCTCTCTTCACTGTTATAGTTTATAATATAATGATTTTTTGTTAGACTATTACAATAGTCTTTTGATATTTCTGTATTTAGTCATGCTCCTCTTATAGCTAACCTTCACAATGCAGTAAGTGCCAGAAAATATGTGCCAGAAAAGGAAGCCTTGAAACTTGATTTCATTTAAAAGGAAGAAGAGGGAGGCATTCAGAAAGAAGGAAAAGCAGAAGCAAAAAGTACATCTGAGTGACTGTAACATGAAAACTATTAAGCAAGCCAGAATGGTCAAAGTGCTATATTTGTGAGGATGTGATAAGATATGAATTGGGAAAAAATATTAAGCAATACAATGAAAAAGATCTTGGTGAGCCATGAACTGTAATTTGATTTCCCATTGATTCTCACATGCCAGGTTGATAATGGTTTGAATCTGTGTCCCCACCCAAATCTCATGTCAAATTGTGTGGTTTAGTACCCTCCCCCTTAGTACTGTTCTTGTGGTAGTTAGTGAGTGAGTTCTCACGAGATCTGGTTGTTTAAAAGTGTGTAGAACCTCCCACCTCCCTCTCTCGTGTTCCTACTCTGGCATGTGGCATGCCTGCTCCCCTTCTGCATTCCACCATGATTGTGAGTTTCCTGAGGCCTCCCCAGAAGTTGAGCAGATGCTTCCTGTACAACCTAGCATCATGCTTCCCATGCAACCTGCAGAGCCATAAGCCAATTAAACCTCTTTTCTTTATAAATTACCCAGTCTCAGCTATTTCTTTATAGCAATGCAAGAACAAACTAATACACAGATCAACCAAAAATCTTCTGCCACAGACAGTACTCAGAAAGAGGAGGAAAAAAGAGAATCACTTATGTAACAAATACTGAAAGATTTATGTTCATATTTACGCATGTGCAAACCTTTCCATTATAAAGCCTGCCAAATGGAAGTATGTTCAGAAACTGAATAAAAATAAAGAATTCTTGAGCAGAGACCTTAATTATCCCTTTCACTTTTCTTCTTCTTTTTTTTGAGACAGGGTCTCACTCTGTTGCCCAGGCCAAAGTCCAGTGATATAATCAAGTCTCACTGCAAGCTCAAACTCCCAGGCTTTGGTGAACTTCCCACCTTGGCCTCTAGGGTAGCTGGGACTACAGGCACATGTTACTATACCCAGCTAATTTTAAAATTTTTTGTAGCGATGTAATCTCACAGTATTGCCTAGGCTGGTCTCAAATTCCGGAGCTCAAGTGATCCTCAGGCCTCAGCCTACCAAAGTGCTGGTATTACAGGCATGAGCCACGTCACCCTTTCATTTTCATAGTCTCATCTCAAAAGCGACTTTCTGCTTGAACCTTTCCCCACTAACCAAATTTTATATCTCTCTTCTGGACCTTCATAACACTTTTACTTAGTTAGTTCTCACTGTTTTTCGCTATGAATGTCAAATCACCAAATTGGCCAAATGTAAATTCTATAACCTAAACTTTATCTCAGCTGTGAATAACCTAAAATTACTACATTATTACACTTATTGTGCTCCTGAACTGCTAAAGGGTGGTGGTATATTATGAAGAAATGATACTAGGAAGACCAAACCCACTTTCTACTCTTGTAGCTTTAGGGAGTTGTAATAAAGGAGGAGCCTGAGAGCTCTAAGAATGGGATGTGGAATCTATATTTAGTTTTATCACTACTTCTCATCCCTAAGGATCAGTAATCTAGACGTTGCCATTTAAAATGGCTTTTGGATGATACACTGGAATTCTAAAATGAGCAACTTAAAGAACTGAGTAACAATGGGTAAACATTTCTAGTATTATAGAAGTAAAAGCTAATTGGCATGACAGCAAGGAAAAATATACATATTAAATGGTAGATGTAATCATTCACCTGTCGAATCGACATAGTACAGAGAATATACAGGAAGATGAAGGAACAGTCTGTGGTGTCATCTCCCAGCAGATTTCGATGAGACAGTCCTTGGATATAAGAAAGAGGGGTAAAAGGAAGCTTTGCCACCACTCTACCATCAAATCTAAAAGAAAAAAAAAACAAAGAATTGTTATTTTTGGAAGACTGACAAGTTTCTTACTTCCAAAGAAGAATCTGGGACAGAAATAGAGTTTTAAGTCTCTTGATCTCTGAAAAACAAAGAAAGGATGACATGCTAATAATAGACATGAACCTGAATACTGTGGTGTAAGGAAGAGCCTAGATTATTCTCATCAATCTTTTCCTAAATTAGTGGTTCTCAATTCTTTTGGTATTGAGACCCCTTTATATATACTGACAAATTATTTAGCACCCTAAAAACTTTGTGTTTATGTAGGTTATAGTTATTGTTTACTGTATTAGAAATTAAAAATGAAAAATGTCTAATATTTATTTATTTATTTGAGATGGAGTCTTGCTCTGCCACCCAGGCTGGAGTGAAGTGGCAAACTCTCAGCTCATTGCAACCTCCACCTCCTGGATTCAAATGATTCTCCTGCCTCAGTCTCCCGAGTAGCTGGGATTACAGATGTGTGCCACCAAACCCAGCTAATTTTTGTGTTTTTGGTAGAGATGGGGTTTCTCGATGTTGGCCAGGATGTTCTCAATCTCCCAAACTCAGGTGATCTGCCCGTCTCAGCTCCCAAAGTGCTGGGATTACAGGCACGAGCCATCGTGCCCAGCCAAAATATTTACTAATTTATTTTAAAAATAGCAAGGAATTCATTACATGTTAACGTAATTTATTTTTATGAAAATAACTTTGAAGAATATATTTAAAAACAAGAATATTAGTGAAAAGAGAGGGATTATTTTATTTTTATAATCTTTTTAATGTTTGGCTTAATAGAAAACAGCTAGGCTATTGCAGTATCACACATCATGAATTCTCTGGAAAACTTCATTGTACACTCATGAGAGAATGTTAAAAAAAAAAAAAGTAAATAACATCTCAGAATTACTGTGAAAATCATTCTGACTTGAAAGACTTCTGAAAGAATCTCTGACTTCCTGAAAGAATCTCAGACTTCCAGGGATCCCAGATCACACTTTGAGAACCACTGTTCTAAACCATAGCACCAGTAAGATAGAACCTTCTTTTTGGGCCACGCCTGGTGTAATCCTAACATGCCTGTAATCCTAATACTGTGGGAGGCCACCTGTAATCCTAACACTGTGGGAGGCTGAGGCAGGTGGATCACTTGAGGCCAGGAGTTCAAGACCAGCCTGGCCAACATGGTGAAGCCCCATCTCACAAAAATACAAAAATTAGCTGGACATGGTGGCAGCACCTGTGGTACCAGCTACTCGGAAGGCTGAGGCAGGAGTATTGCTTGAACCTGGGAGGTAGAGATTGCAGTGAGTTGAGATCATGCTACTGCACTCCAGCCTGGGTGACAGAGCAAGGCTCTGTCTCAAAAAAAAAAAAAAAAAAAAGAAAGTTCTTTTCTAAGACCCAAAAGGTCCCAACTATACATATTAAGAAGGATAAGGCCAGGTGCGGCAGCTCACGCTTGTAATCCCAGCTCTTTGGGAGGCCGAGGCAGGTGGGTCACGAGGTAAGGAGTTCGAGACCAGCCTGGCCAAGATGGTGAAACCCTGTCTCTATTTAAAAATAAATAAATAAGTTGGGTGCAGTGGCTCAAGCCTGTAATCCCAGCACTTTGGAGGGCCAAGGTGGTCAAGAGATCGAGACCATCCTGGCCAACATGGTGAAACCCCATCTCTACTAAAAATACAAAAAAAAAAAATTAGCTGGACATGGTAGCATGCACCTGTAGTCCCAACCTGGGAGGCTGAGGCAGGAGAATTGCTTGAACCCGGGAGACGGAGGCTGCAGTGAGCCGAGATTGTGCCACTGCACTCTAGCCTGGCGCCTGGCAACAGAGTGAGACTCTGTCTCAAAAAAAAAAAAATTAAAAATAAATAAATAAATAAATAAAATTTTCCACTGAAGTGTGGCCAGAAGAGAAAATTAAATAAATAAAAATAAATAAAAAATAAATAAGGATAAACATTTATGAATAGGAATTTATAGAATATATAGTAGTGATGAAAAAAGCAGATTACTAAACTACATATACAATATTCTGAGATAATACTTTTACTTAATTGTTTTTAGGTTTGAAATAATTCTTTTTATTTTTTATAAAATAGAAAAATGTTTCAAAAAGAGAAAAGCTGAGGCAGGAGAATCATTTGAACCCAAGAGGTAGAGGTTGCAGTGAGTTGAGATCGGGCCATTGCACTCCAGCCTGGGCAACAAGAATGAAACTCCATCTCAAAAAAAAAAAAAAAAAAGTACATCCATTCAATACAACATTATACAGCCATTTCAAAATAATATTACATAGAAGCCGGTGCGGTGGCTCAAGCCTGTAATCCCAGCACTTTGGGAGGCTGAGGCAGGTGGATCACGAGGTCAAGAGATCGAGACCATCCTGGTCAACATGGTGAAACCCCGTCTCTATTAAAAATACAAAACATTAGCTGGGCATGGTGGCGCATGCCTGTAATCCCAGCTACTCAGGAGGCTGAGGCAGGAGAATTGCCGGAACCCAGGAGGCGGAGGTTGCGGTGAGCCGAGATCGTGCCATTGCACTCCAGCCTGGGTAACAAGAGTGAAACTCTGTCTCAAAAAACAAACAAACAAACAAACAAAAAATAATATTACATAGAAATTAATATATATATTATGTTTTAAAAATTGCCACAGATTTTTGTGTGGACAAAAATTATAGCAGGTTATAAAACAGACATTCTTGTGTATAAAAGTTTATATTCAGCCTGGGCAAACTAGTGAAACCTCATCTCTACAAAAATTTTTTAAAAAAATAGCTTGGGTCAGGCATGATGTCTCATGCCTGTAATCCTAGCACTTTGGGAGGCAGAGGCAGGTGGATCATCAGGAGTTCGAGACCAGCCTGGCCAACATGGCAAAACTCTGTCCCTACTAAAAATACAAAAATTAGCCAGGCATGGTGGTGCATGCCTATAATCCCAGCTACTCGGGAGGCTGAGGCAGAAGAATTCCTTGAACCCAGGAGGCAAAGACTATAGTGAGCCGAGATCACACCATTGCACCCCAGCCTGGGCAACAGAGTGAGACTCCGTCCCCACCCAAAAAAAAATTAGCCAGGCATCATGGTGTATATCTGTGGTCCCAGCTACTTGGAAGGCTAAGGTGGGAGGATCACTTAAGCACAGCAGGTCAACGCTGTAGTGAGCTGTGATTGTTCCACTGTACCTCAGCCTGAGCAACAGAGTAAGATCCTGTTTCAAAAAAATAAAAATTCATATATAAAAATATAAAAATGTTTGCATACCTATTACAAAAAGTACAAATCTTGAATATGCACTACATTTGAGGCAGACAGTAATTTTACATTTTATAGAGAGTAAAATATATTTTTATTTTATATTTTATACATATGTATTTTTGAAATTTTTCCAATGAGAATGTAGTATTTTATTTTGTTTCTTTCTTTATTTTTGTTTCACCATGTTAGTCAGGCTGATCTTGAACTCCTGGACTTCAGGTGATCCACTCACCTCAGCCTCCCAAAGTGCTGGGATTACAGGCCTGAGCCACCATGCCCAGCCATTATTTTCTAATATCTAGCACAATGCCTGGCACAAAATATACACTCAACAGGTAGGAAGGAAGAGATGCAGGGAGAGGGAGAGACAGACAGGAAAGAAGCTGGGGAAAGAGAGTAAGAGGAAGGGAATGAAAGGGGGAGTGAGAAAAATTCTAATACCTGCAGTACAGTTCAGATGAGCTTTGAAAAGATAATACATGGGCTGGGAGCAGTGGCTCAATGCCTATAATCCTAGCACTTTGGGAGGCCAAGGTGGGAGGATCACTTTAGGTCAGGAATTGGAGACCAGCTTGGCCAACATGATGAAACCCTGTCTCTACTAAACATACAAAAAGTAGCCGGGCATGGTGGCACATGCCTGTAATCCCAGCTACTCGGGAGGCTGAGGCAGGAGAATCGCTTGAACCTGGAGAGTGGAGGTTGCAGTGAGCTGAGATTATACCACTGCAATCCAGCCTGGGTGACAGAGCAAGGCTCTGTCTCCAAAAAAAAAAAAAAAAAAGAAAAAAAAGGGCAATAAATTATTATCATCTTTGGATATATTCTCTCAAAAGAAGTTCCACAATTACTCAGGTTTGCTATATGCTGGTTTGGACAACAGTAATTTACCTTATCATTAAACAAGATTATAGTTATTAAGACTCTATTTTAAGAGACAAAAGATCTTTATATGACTACCTTCATTTTGAAGCAGCATGTTAGTAAGCAACTGAAAAACAAGGGAACATATTAAATTCTTCATGGAGAACCCATAATGCCTAAGCCTTATGTCTTATATGTAAAATACTGTCAATATTAAGATGGTAAAAAAAGTTATTGTGTAATTGTATTTTACAAAAATTAAATTCTAGCCAGGTGTGGTGGCTCATGCTTATAATTCCAGCACTTTGGGAGGCTGAGGCGGGTGGATCAGCTGAGGTTAGGAGTTCAGACCAGCCTGACCAACACGGCGAAACCATGTCTGTAAGTACCAACTACTCAGGAGGCTGAGATAGGAGAATCGCTTGAATGAAGGAGGTGGAGGCTGCAGTGAGCTGAGATTGTGCCACTGAACTCCAGCCTGGCTGACAGAGTGAGAATCCATCTCAAAAAAAAAAAAAAAAAAAAAAAAACACCAAAAAAAAATTCCCTTGATTTTGATAATTGTTTTGAAGTTATATAAGAAAATGTCCTTAGGAAATATATAGCAAAGTAGTTACAGGAAAAGGAGCATAGAGCCTACAACATATTTTCAAATGATTATGAAAAATACAAAAATAGTGTATGGATGAGCACACATATAATAGAGAAAGAGAGGAAAAGAAAAAAAGAAATGAAGCAAAACATTAACAACTGTGAATATGGGAATGGATATACATACTATTCTTGCAGCTCTTCTTAAGTTTGAAATTACATCAAAATAAAATATTACCCAAAAAGTTCATGCTAACATACATACAAATATAGAGTAATAGTTATTACGCAAAAGCATATAAAAGGACACTCACATGGAATTGAACATTCCCATTAGGGCAGTGAAACAAAAGCCAATTGCAAACATGGATTTCATTCGAACCTGTAATGAGACAAACAGATTGTCATTTTACATTTAAAACAACACATCTAAAGCATACCTCAAAAGTTTTGGTTTCATGTCATGTTTTTAAAAAGTACTCCTTAGCAAAAGCTATATCTGTGTTGGCTAACCCACCCTTCACCTCCAGTTCCTCTTCTTACCATCTGGTGAGGAAGAATATTGGGGTGGCTTTGTGGCCCAATTCTGGCCAATGAGTTAATAAGTACTAACAAAAGGTCTCTCAGTAAGTAAAAGAGAACTGTTGCACAGTTCAGATGTCCTGTATTAAATACATAGAAGTGAAAAATCAATCAAGCTATATAATTAGCCTATCTATGCTTTAGAAGATATGTCTGAATAAAGTCTACTCTTTATAACTAATGAGGAAATGGGTAATGAAGTCACTTTTCCTTATACTTCAGAGTATGCCAGATACTGAGAACAAAAGGTCTCTTAAAGAACAAAAGAGCCAGGCGCAGTAGCTCACACCTATAATCCCAGTACTTTGGGAGGCCAAGGCAGGTGGATGGCTTGAGCCCAGGAGTTCAAGACCATCCTGGGCAACATAGTGAGACCCCATCTCTACAAAAAATACAAAAATAAGCCAGGCATCGTGACAGACGCCTGTAGTCCCAGCTACTTGTGAGGCTGAGGTAGGAGGAGCGCATAAGCCCAGGAGGCAGAGGTTACAGTCAGCCAAGACAGAGTCACTACACTCCAGCCTTGGTAATAGAGTAAGATTCTGTCTCAAAAAAAAAAAAGAAAAAAAAGGAAAGAAAAGAAAAAGATTGAGTAATGTGCAGTGGCTCACACCTATAATCCCAACACTCTGGGTAGCTGGGGCTGGAGGATCGACTAAAATTCAAGATCAGTGTGGGCAAGATGGCAAGACCTCATCTTTACAAAAAAAGAAAAAAAAAATTAAAATTAGCTGGGCATGGTGGTGTACCTCCTACTTGGGAGGCTGAGGATCCCTAGGGCCCAGGAATTCACAGTGGCAGTGAGCTATGATCACGCTACTGCATTCCAGCCTGGGTGACAAAGCAAGACCCTGTCTCTCAAAACGAAAAAGAACCAAGGACAGTAATAAAAGCCATTTATAATGTTCCAGCTCCTATATTGGGATTACACATATCACTATAAAACCAAAGATTCAGCATTAACATAAGGAAGAAAAAAGAAATAAACTACTTCATTTGAAAACTAAGAGGGAACTAAGAACTGTGTGAAGAGGAAAAATCATGACCTCTGAGACAGTCTAAAAAAAGCTATTTATAGTATTAAGATGAAGTTTAAGAGCAGGAGCATATTTTACTTCCATTTCGTCCAGGAACACCCATGATATTATTTATAGCCTTCATAGGTGATAAATTACTGAAAAGGTTAAGTGCAATGCATTTGATGCAAATCAGTCCTTTGCTAAAAACATTATGTGGTTTACCATGAAGTTATATTTAGGACTCTTACCATTGATAGATCTCTGTTGTTATTCTTTAGTTTCTCTTCTTGTCTCTCTGCAAATAATTAATGAGATGGTTAATACATACAATGCTGAGCACAGAGCAGTTGTTAAATAAATTGTCACTGTTTGGTGATTACAAAAGCACTCTGTCTCAATATCATCTAATAAGATGATGAAAACATCTGGGATATTATATATTTTGTACTCAGAATTTTTTTTAAAAATTACCTCTGGTATTAAATGTCTTTATACATTAATATATATGCTTATATTACACCAATGAGAATTGCCAATCAGTTAATTTGTAAGTATAACAATGATTGTACTTAGGTGTCTCAAATCAGTTATCCTTCTCTTACATTTTCTCCCTTTTTTCAATTTGTCTAAAATGGCCTATAGTCTAAAATTATCAGCCAGTTGATAGGATGAACTTAAAATCCAGATTCTAGCTGGGAGATCCCAGTATTTTGGGAGGCCGAGGTAAGAAGATTGCTTGAGGCCAGGAGTTCAAGACCATCCTGGACAACATGGTAAGACCCTGTCTCTACAAAAAAAGTTTTACAAATTAGCCAGCCATGATGGTGTGTCCTGTAGTCCCAGCTACTCGGGAGGCTACAGTGGGAGGATCACTTGAGCCCAGGAGTTTGAGGCTGCAGTGGACCATGAACATGCCACTGTACTCCAGCCTGGGTGACAGGGTGAGACTCTGTCTCAAAACAAAAACAAAAAACTATGCATCCTCTAAGTAGTGAATGTTTGGAATACAACCTCTGAAATTTGAGGAAATTTCATGGAGACAATAATCTGGAAATATGCAGAAGATACATTATATTCTAGAATGATTTATTTTCCAAGGTGACTAGCAAAAGGGAAAATTAAAATTCAGAAAAGGAATACTCCAAATTGGAGGCTGCATTTCTTGTGGCTACTAGAATAAACAATGATGGAATTGCTACTATTGGAATAAATAGTAGCAATGATGACATCCATTCTGACCACAAAGTAAATAGGCCATCAGCCAATCCAAATAACATAGAAAAAGGCCTACAATAAATGCATAAATTCACGGCCCCAAATATATTAAATTTCAAAAATTTCCTCTCATATTTAAATCCAAGTCTTGAAGAAAAGAGGCCAGATGTGGTAACCCACACCTGTATTCCCAGCTCTTTGGGATGCTGAGGTAGGAGGCTCACTTGAGCCCAGGAGTTCAAGAGTAACATAGACCCCATCCCTACAAAAAAACTTAAAAATTAGCCAGGCATGATGGCATATGACGATAGTCTGAGCTATTTGAGAGGCTGAGGCAGGAGGAGTTTGGGGTTGCAGTGAGCCATGAACATGCCACTGTATTTCAGCCTGGGGTGACAGAGGGCAACCCTGTCTCAAAAACAAAAAGAAAAGAGATACTTATCCCACTCGGTCAATCTTCAGAATGTTGTAGATAATGTTTTTGAATATATTCCATACTAGTACTATAAGAAGTTATACTATATGTGGCTCAATTTTTCATATGCCTAACAATGCAAATGCCAAGGTGAATATAGTAAAAGCATTTTATGAAGTCCAAAATAATGCAGTTTAGGTTTACAGATTTCTGATGGTCTGACTTAATCTAGGATTAAAATGTACAAATCTAGAGAATGGATAGATTGCCTTTCAAGCAACTCATCATAAATATTACATCTCATAATTTCTAATAAGATTTTGATAAGCAACTCTTCATAAATATTATTTCTTTTTTTTTGAGACAGAGTTTTGCTCTTGTTGCCCAGTCTGGAGTGCAATGGCATGATCTCAGCTTACTGCAACGTCTGCCTCCTGGGTTCAAGTCATTCTCCTGCCTCAGTCTCCCAAGTAGCTGTGATTACAGTCATGTGTCACCACACCTGGCTAATTTTTGTATTTTTAGTAGAGAGGGAGTTTCACCATGTTGGTCAGGCTGGTCCCGAACTCTTGACCTCAGGTGATCCACCTGCCTTGGCCTCCCAAAATGCTAGGATTACAGGCGTAAGCCACTGTGCCTGGCCAAAAATGTTATTTCTTATAATTTCTGATGAGATATTTTTTGGGTGCGCAAACAATTCAGGGTGGCACTCCATGTTAAAATCATTTGAATTCAGATACTTTGTGTTGCCAATTTAAAGGCAGAGGGTAATCTGTCTTCCATTCTTATATCCCTCCTATTCTTTATAGCAAAGGTACTTGAAGGAGTTGTCCACGTTCAATGTCTTCATTTCCTCACCATACATTATCTCCTTAATCTATACGATCTGGCTTCTGTCCCCCATCATGCCACTGAAACCAGTTTTGCTAAAAGCACTAATAACCTCCATTTCTTTGATACTTACCATCATCAATCAGGCCCTTCCTCCTCCCTGAAACTCTCCTCTCAACTTCTGTCACACTACTACTTTCCAATTTCTCTGGCAATACTGTTTCAGAACTTCTGTTGTTCCTTAAATTTCTGTCCCTCAAGACTCTCGCCGGGCGCGGTGGCTCAAGCCTGTAATCCCAGCACTTTGGGAGGCCGAGGCGGGTGGATCACGAGGTCAGGAGATCGAGACCATCCTGATCAACATGGTGAAACCCCGTCTCTACTAAAAATACAAAAAAAAACATTAGCTGGGCATGGTGGCGCGTGCCTATAATCCCAGCTACTGAAGAGGTTGAGGCAGGAGAATTGCCTGAACCCAGGAGGCGGAGGTTGCGGTGAGCCGAGATCGCGCCATTGCACTCCAGCCTGGGTAACAAGAGTGAAACTCCGTCTCAAAAAAAAAAAATAAAATAAAATAAGACTCTCAGATGGCACGATGGCTCATCCCTGTAATCCCAGCATTTTGGGAGGATGAGGTGGGTGGATCACCTGAGGTCAGGAGTTCGAGACCAGCCTGGTAACATGGCGAAACCCTGTCTCTACTAAAAATTCAAAACTTAGCTGGGTGTGGTGGTACATGCCTGTAATACCAGCTGTTCATGAGGCTGAGGCAGGAAAATTGCTTGAACCCGGGAGGCAGGGGTTGCAATGAGCCGAGATGGTGCCACTGCACTTCAGCCTGGGCAACAAGAACGAAACTCTGTCTCAAAAAAAAAAACAAGCTAACAAACAAAAAAGTACTTACCATCCTGCACAGTAATCATTTATTTCCTGGTCTATTTTCCCTCTCTAAACAGAGCTTATAAAAATAGAATATTTTTCTACTTTGTTTCTCCAATGCCTTTAGAAGTAACTCATACATATAAAGTAAATGTTCAATAGCATTTTGCCATAGAATTAAATGAACAGACCATTTAAAAAATATCTGGGATCCTTACAATAACTGAAAAACTTTAATCAGAACAGGACATTGACATAGTCTAATCTCATAGAATTCTCCCCTGGGCTGTAACAACAGTGACCTAGGTATATAGATATAGTTTCTGAAACAAATACACAATCTCACAACAATTTTTTTCTCCTGATCTAAGAATCAAGAAATGTCATAACATATAAAAACAAATCGTATATAATCTTTTATAAATTGTCTTTCAGAAACAGAATTAAACTCTAAGTTATACTAAAAAAGTAAAAACATATGATATGATCATTATTTCTCATTGTAGATCAAAATTAGCAGAAATTTCCTACCCCTTGGTGGATTTCCATTACTAGTCAATTCTCAGTAAGGAAGCCATGGAAACAATGAACACATGTAACTCAGACTTAAGTGGTAATAATCATCTCAGATATAAAAAATAATATGCTTTTACAAACTGTGCCAGAAGCCCTCAGCCATGTTCAAAAACCACAACTGTCATTTTACAAAACTCAAATTTCAAAGCTAAGGGCAAAAATAGAGGAACTGTTTAAATTTGTCCTATACACCTCACAAAATGGGTGAGAATCAAGTGCGATAAAGTATGCACGTGCTTTATAAACCATAAAAATAATAGAAACATGAGCTATCACTATTAATAATTTTATTATATTTTCATTATCTGTGAATTTTTTTCCAAGAAAACCCAAATTTCATTTTGATATCTCATCTTACCTATTTTCTTTTTCTGTTGTCGACCAGCTGACTCTGTTATTGTTTCCTTCTTCTTTTCCACTGTAAATAACATAGTAACACAGTAAAAATTAACTTCATTATACTGAAGAAACAAAGGATGCTTTATCACAGATGAACCGATGAAAGAAGCTTATGAAAGTTACACACTGACTTTGATTATGGTCATGATTAAGCTAACTGCTCTGCTCTCACAGCTACTGATGGTAAAAAGTAGGCACAATATTCTAAGAATGAAACAATAATTATAAGCATGATTAGTCAAATACCCATAAAAAATTGTATTGATACAATCATAATGAAAACAGACTATCAGCTGAGGATGATTACCTTAGCCAGTGTGAAAGCACCATTTTCAAATTCTCCTCTCTCAGATAAGTAGGGTTAATTGTAGCTCCATTCTCTTATGACAGAAGGTAGAAATTTTATTCACTCAGTTATTGGCTAAGTAACTTTAGGCAGATGAAAAAAATATCCCTATCTTCTAAAGAATAATCTAGTCAGGGGAGATAATCAAATGACAATTACAGTAAAGTGACAAGATAGATATATGCACACTGCAGGAAAATCAGGAGAGGCAAAAAAGCCAAGACCGGCCGGGCAAGGTAGCTAACACCTATAATCCCAGCACTTTGGGAGGCTGAGGTGGGTGGATGACCTGAGGTTAGGAGGTCGAGACCAGCCTGGCCTAGGTTTCACTAGAGTGAAACCCTGTCTCAAATTAGCTGGGCATGATGGCATATGCCTATAATTCCAGCTACTTGGAAGCTGATGCAGGAGAATCCTGGATTTTGCAGTGAGTCGAGATAGCACCACTCTACTCCATCCTGGGCAATAGAGTGAGACTCCGTCTCTCAAAAAAAAAAAAAAAAAAGCTAAGACCAATTTTTCTGATGCATTTCAATTACTATCATGATTAAGTAACAGTAAGCTTTTGAAAAATAGTGTGATATATATTTATAATATTATGTTTACTATCTTTAATCATCTGTATATGGACTAGGGAGATGTCAAAAATTACTTTTACTTACTTTATATTATCTGTTACCCATATTATCTTAGTATACTAATAGCAAACAGTACAGTAGAGGGATTATTTCTAAAACTTACATTAAAAAGAATTAGCAGGTAGGACACTTTCCCTTAGTACGTGAAGTTTGTCCCTGAATTCTAAAAGCAAAATTGGTATCACTGCTTTATCCAAGAGTTGTAAAATTCAATTTGACTCCAATATTGCAAAGGAAATTTCTGCTGGCCGAAATAAAATATGTATTTTGTGTGTATGTGTGTGTGTGTGTGCGTGTGCGTGTGAGTGTGAGTGTGTGTGGTGTGTGTATATGTGCAGTATATGTATGTTCTGAGAGACTTGAGATCAGCCTGAGTAACATGGCAAGACTCTGTCTCTACAAAAATATTACAACATCAGCCGAGTATGGTGGCACATGCTTGTAGTTTCAGCATGTGCCAGGAGGCTGAGGCACGAGGCGCTCTTGAGACCGGGAGCTTGAGGCTGCAGTGAGCTGTATTTGCACCACTGCGCTCCAGCAGATGCGAGAGCGAGAGCTTGTCTCAAAAATAAAACATCATGTCTGTGGAAAGAGAGCAAGAAATATTTTGAATGAACATACTAGTGAAAGATCATTTTAAAAATGTCAAATTTCACATTTTAAAATGTTTTAAAAATAACATTTTATGCCAGGTACAGTGGCTCATGTCTGTAAGCCCAGCACTTTGGGAGGCCAAGATGGGAGAATCATTTGAGTTCAGGAGTTTGAGATTAGCATGGGCAACATGGCAAAACCTCATCTCTAACAAAACTACAAAAATCAGCCAGCCATGGTGGTGCACTCCTGTGGTCCTAGCTACTCAGAAGTCTGAGATGAGAGGATCACAGGAGCCTGGGAAGTCAAGGCTTAAGTGAGCCATGATTGGGTCACTACACTCCAGCCTGGCTGACAGAGCAAAACCCTGTTTCGAAAATAATAATAAACATTTTTATTAAAAAGTTATAAGGATAACATTTTAAAAGACAAAATGGATAGAAAACACTTCATGTTTTACTCTTTATCATTATTAAACAAAGAAGCAAAAATATTTCTTTCCCACTCCAGAAAGACTATAACACAACTACTTAGCATTTAACCACGACTGCATAAAAAATAGGGCAATAGGCCGGGCGCGGTGGCTCAAGCCTGTAATCCCAGCACTTTGGGAGGCCGAGGCGGGTGGATCACGAGGTCAAGAGATTGAGACCATCCTGGTCAACATGGTGAAACCCCGTCTCTACTAAAACTACAAAAAATTAGCTGGGCATGGTGGCGCGTGCCTGTAGTCCCAGCTACTCAGGAGGCTGAGGCAGGATAATTGCTTGAACCCAGGAGGCGGAGGTTGCGGTGAGCCGAGATCGCGCCATTGCACTCCAGCCTGGGTAACAAGAGCAAAACTCCGTCTCAAAAAAAAAAAAAAAAAAAAAAAAAAGGGCAATAAAAAGACAGAAGGCTAGAGAATAGAAACATAAGACAATTCTATAAACATTAGTCTGGTCTTCTAGCAGACCAGATTGAGACTAGATAAATCTTTTTTAGGGATAAATTAATCTAATGTTTTTCAAACTTCATGAGGTTGTGATGAAACCTCAGTGTGTTGACATTTAGTCATCAGAATCTCACCTGACAGCAAGTAGTAAAAATGTCAGAGTTGACAAAAATAAAAGATGTCTATTATGAAACACATTTCTGTCCATGACCTGGTATTCCTGCATTCTGAATTCCAGAGTTCTGCCAAACAGTTTATAAATTATTCTATAAGATTTATCCTATTTCACCATAAACAACAGAAATACCTCATACTTCACAGCAATTCATACTTAGTAAATACTCTCAAACAATTTTGTTACAAGAACCAAGTTATATATACTGTACTTTTAATCTTTCTCATTTACTGAAGTATCCTTTCATTAGTATATATTACAACAGTAACACAATAAAAGGAGAGCTACTGATGAGTACATCTATAAGCCCAGGGACCACCTGAGTCAACCAACTCACTACCTTTAAGAGAGCATTTTTTTTTTTTTTTTTTTTTTTTTTTGGTCAAAGGCAACTCAGTAGAACTGCTTTTTGGATACCAGTTTTAAAATGCCAAGGACCAGATCAGTACCAAGGAAAGTAACCTACATCAAATTCTGATTCAAACCTGTTTATATATATATATATATATATATATATTTTTTTTTTTTTTTTTTTTT